CCTCGTGCTATATAGTACTACCTTGTACTATACAGTACCAAGTGCTAAGAACATGTTGCTTGATCAGTACTGTGCACCAAACCAACAGCATTAACATCTGAATGCATAATTTTTAATCGTATTATCCAGCTTGGGGACAAAAACGTCCTGGGAACAAAACCGGTGTGGGGACAAAAAAATAAAAAAAGTGGGGACAAAAACGTCTTGGGGACAAAACCGTCCTGGGGACAAAACCGGTCTGGGGACAAAAAGGCTCGAAAAAAGTGGGGACAAAAACGTCCTGGGGACAAAAGCGTCTTGGGGACAAAAAAATAAAAAAAGTGGGGACAAAAACGTCTTGGGAACAAAACCGGTGTGGGGACAAAAAAATAAAAAAAGTGGGGACAAAAACGTCTTGGGGACAAAAACGTCCTGGGAACAAAACCGGTGTGGGGACAAAAAAATAAAAAAAGTGGGGACAAAAACGTCTTGGGGACAAAACCGTCCTGGGGACAAAACCGGTCTGGGGACAAAAAGGCTCGAAAAAAGTGGGGACAAAAACGTCCTGGGGACAAAAGCGTCTTGGGGACAAAACCGGGGTGGGGACAAAACCGGGCCCAATCGGCAACGTTTCTACAAAACATCAATTTTTTCCGCACGAAACTGGCAAAGTTATGAACAAAAATAGTTTTTCTCTCTGGCCGCTCACCGCGTTTCGCATGCTCTCTCGGCGGCAAAGATCGTTCAATATCTCGGCTGCACTTGCAAAGCGCGAGCTAAAACTTTCAGGAATTAATGCTTAGTCCATGACCGATGTGTGTGCAAACTTTGAAAAAAATCTGAGCGGCATCGCACTTGGGGTACTCCCCTGTAAACTCTCAGTCTGCCGGAAAAATAACGGGGGATCGTCGCAGCAAAATGTCTCGCCTCGCCGCTATCGCGCACCAAATCCCAAGCCGCGGGTTGCAGTCGCAAAGCGATGATGAGCGACTCTGAGGCGCGACGATCCGCCGTTTTTTCCCGACAGACCGATAACAATGGCAAGCTACGAAACACCCCCCTTTCCTAGTCGTTCCAGGAAGTGCGTAGACATTTTTCGCGGCGCACAGTGCATTTTTCTTCTTTTTTTGCACATCGTTGTCACGCACCCAAAATGCGCGGCGACGTAGTTGAAAAAAAGCTTACGTCGCTGCGACTTTTGAATCGCACGTTGCAAAGGTCAAACGCACAGTGCGGAAAATTTGCGACGAAAGGTCCGCGCACTTTCTGGAACGAGTAGTACTCCAACCTCCAAACGTCCCTTTGATACACGATTCAAACAAAACAATACCGACAGTACTGGCGCTTATACGGCCGAACAAAGGAAGGATAAACCCCTCACGAACCCAACTGTGCTTCCTGGCCCTATTCCCCTCCTACGTATGCACCCTACCCTTCCAAGATGCCAGTCTCCTAGGTCGAAAACGCCCAATGTCCCAGAGGATATAAGTAATTCGGTCGAGCCATAATTCAACGCCTTTCAGAGCCAAAAACCAAAAGAATTCTAGGTACCCCTCACTTCCGCGTCCTGACATTTCGGGTCAGGGACAGTTCGGGTCAACGATACCGTTTAATATTCTTGCTTCGGGACCTGGGAAAAAGGATTTTTTGGAGAGTTGAAACAAAATTTTGAACTGTTTTCGCTTCGGTATTATATCCCGTGCTTCCAGTTAAAAACATAAACAATGGATACGATTTTCTGATTTGCTCGTCGCTTAAAGACACTATTTTCCGAAAAAAATCGAAGATAAACCTTACTTCTCCAGAAAACACTTTTTCCAGTCCCGAAGCGAAAAAATTTCAAAAATTTGTTCAAATTCTCAAAAAAAAATCCTTTTCTCCAAGTCCCGAAGCAAAAATATTAAACGGTACCGTTGACCCGACCTGTCGTGACGCGATTTGCCCCTGACCCGAAACGCGGTAGCGCCCCCCCACTTCCAGACTAAACCATCAATCTCTAAGATATGTGCTCTCTACCGGCCCAGTAATAAAAATTTCGTCCTAGGTTGCCCAACTACAGCATCAGCACCATTCAGCCCAATTCCGATTACTTACCTTCTCCGCCCCTTTCTCCCATTTCCCCTTCCCCTTTCAAAGCAAGCAAGATAAAATAAAAAAGAAACAAATAGATAAAATTAAAATCGTAGATTCTTCTTCTTCTTGGCTGGAAAGTTGCCTGCACAGGTTTAATGGGACTTGAAGGAATCTGTAAGGAAATGGAGATTAGAAGACAAAAAAATCAAAAATAAGTTCAACAATCTCATGAGTAACACAGGGATCTCAAAAAATTGCGCTCATAGTGACTAAACCGAAAGACACCTGATGTCGGAGACAAAATAAGTGGGTTAAAAGCTGTCACGATCCCATAATTCAATTTTAAAAAATACTAATTTACTTGATCTTTGATCGGAATACCCCTGTAATCCACCAACGGAATTTAAGATCAGTTTAAAAACCGCCGCTTACTTTTTAATTTTCTTGCATTGTGCAGACTAAACGACGTTCTTGACATCCACCGCTCCACACTCAAATTCCTTCAAGCTTATACCAATTGTCATTCATACACAAACTTGGACGGGCGACCTGGAAGCAATGTTTTATTACAAATGGAAAAATTTGAAAACTGAATTTAACTATCTCATCAACAACATAAAGCCCCTACAAATCTGTCATAATCAAGTCCTTTACCACTAAATCAGACAATTCATGTAGCAAACAGTGTCTTTATCAACTTTTACCCTCAAAACGATCAAATATTACACCAGAGAGCTAAAAAATCCGTCATGACGACGAATTAAATAGCCCATCCTTATTTCAATTATTTCTCAGCGAATAATGCACCAATTTCCATAAAATTTATATCAAATTGAAGCTGATTTACCCCATTTTCTGTCCACCAAACATGACGGGCCCAAGTTCAAGGAGGCTCCCGTATTGACCCTTGACATTTTCATTCCAAATTTTGGAGCCCGAAATTGGTGAAACTTAGAAAATTTTTGGAATGATTTTCAATTGAGTTTCTCAGACTTGGGAAATTTTTTGGATTTCCGGCAAAGACAAAGTCACCTGATTCGACGGAATTTTTTAAAGGACCTCACCGACTACATTTGAATCGCATTTTTACGGCTTGGAGGTGCGCTTCGCCAAAAGTTGCGAAAATCCCGCGAAAAAAACAAATACAAAAAATAATCGAGAATTTTTCTCGAAAATACAAAATTGAAGAAAGTTTGAGCTATTTCATGTTCCAAAGTTGCTGAAAACGCTTCTTGTTCACGTGGATCCTGCCGACACTCATTCGGATGCTCTTGAGGAAGGCTGATGTAAGTTTTCTTTGGTTTTTGCTTGGTTTTTTCGCGTTTAGGTAGGAGTGAAGTATCTTGCACAATATTTCGGCGATTCTTTTGAAAAACAGCCCGAACGAAATGTTGAGGAGCAAGTTTTGGACTCAAGGCTTGTGTGTATTCCATTTTCTTGCCTTGTTAGGGCTGTATTTGCCCATTTAGAGATATTTTATATTATTTTAGTCAAGTCTTTCAATTTCAGAGTTGTTCAATCGCCGAGAACGCGATGCATGAAGAAGAATTCTCTTCATACAAATTCCTTTGCATCACGATTCGAGACAGGGACGTTGTCTATGGGATGTTCATGTGAGGTAATGTGTTATTTACTTTTTTGCTTAAAATTTCGTTACGTAATTTCTCGGCCTCTATGCATTTAGTTTTAGATAGGCACTTGTCTTCGTGAATCAATGGATCAACTATAGAAACGAAAGCGGTTCGTAGACCAGCAAATTGAACAAAAACTGCATGATTATTACGTTTTTATTGATGTATTAGATAATAAAAGGTATATAAGTTACATTCTTTTATTTTGACCAGGATGCTTTATGTAAACGACAGGTCCGTGTGGACACGCCGGTTTCTTCATCTTCATGGGTCGTTCCAGGCGATTGAACAACTCTGAAATTGAAAGACTTGACTAAAATAATATAAAATATCTCTAAATGCAGCCCTAACAAGGCAAGAAAATGGAATCCACACAAGCCTTGAGTCCAAAACTTGCTCCTCAACACTTCGTTCGGGCTTTTTTCAAAGGAATCGCCGAAATATTGTGCAAGATACTTCACTCCTACCTAAACGCGAAAAAACCAAGCAAAAACCAAAGAAAACTTACATCAGCCTTCCTCAAGAGCATCCGAATGAGTGTCGGCAGGATCCACGTGAACAAGAAGCGTTTTCAGCAACTTTGGAACATGAAATAGCTCAAACTTTCTTCAATTTTGTATTTTCGAGAAAAATTCTCGATTATTTTTTGTATTTGTCTTTTTCGCGGGATTTCCGCAACTTTTGGCGAAGCGCACCTCCAAGCCGTAAAAATGCGATTCAAATGTAGTTGGTGAGGTCCTTTAAAAAAGTAAGGTTTACAGAAGCACCAAGTGCGGGCTTATTTAGTCAAAGACTCGAATATTTTCCAAGTACCAGAACTCAATTGAAATTCATTGCAAAAATTTTCCAAGTTCCACCAATTTCGGGCTCCAAAATTTGGAATGAAAATGTCAAGGGTCAGTACGGGAGCCTCCGTCAACTTGGACCTGTCATATTTTGTGGACAGAAAATGGGGAACCTCAGCTTCAATTTGACATAGATTTAATGGAAATTGGTGCATTATTGGCGGAGAAATACTTGAAATAAGGATGGAAGTTTCGGCTGAACCACCCTGTACTTCATGGAGTAAAAAGTACCTTTTATCACCACTTACCCCTCAAAGGATCCAATATTACACTACAAAGGCTAAAACTTCACAAAGTTTTACTCCCACTACTCCCACGCGTTGGATACCATAATAAAATCCGTCATGAGGACGAATGTAGCGATCTGCATCTTTTGAATCCAAAATCAAACGGATTTCTAGCCCTAGATCAGCCAAAGTTCCCCTTTATCAACAAAACTTCGCTTACCTCCAAACAATTGAACTGTGCTTCCTCAGAGACCCCGTCCGTTTCCGTGGAATGCAGGGCTCGGCAAAGTAACTTGTTCTTCGCTTTCAATCGCACCAGCTTCCCCGTCGACCATAAAAAAGTGGCCATTCTGAAAGAAAGATGTATTAATCAATGGGAAATTTCATGGTATTCATCTCATGAAAAATGTAAAAGTAGTACAATACCGTCATTACAACATGATTAGTGGCTAAAACTAGTCGCTACTCCGTGTAAGATTGATTTTTACGACCCCTTACATATTATAATCCCCTAAAATGTCCCAAAAAAGCAAGAAATTCTAAAATTCTTCCGAAAAATCACAAGAAACATAACATTCTAACATCCTAGCATGGAGACAAATGCGTATTCCAAAATGATCAATCACAAAACAGCACCTATCAAGATTTTGCAAGCTTTCACACCCAAGTCTAGCCCATTAATACCAGTAAAAATCAGAGTTTAGAAAAACCCTCGTCTCTACCGTAACCATCCAAAAATATGTCGTAATGACTGGCTTTTACACAGCTAAACGCTTTTTCACTTACAATGTTCCTAGTGTCCCCTTCTAGAACCCGATTCCTGAACTGATCACTCCCAATTAACATACCGTTCTTATCTTCTGCAGACCTTCAGGACACCATTGATTCCTCCAACTTCTCCAGGGCTCCAAGGAACGGATTCTTGATGGTTTCCATGAAAATAGATAATATTAAAAATAGAATTGGCAGTATCTGGACTCATGACGGGAATAAAAGCCTACAATTGGTAAAAAAACAACTTACTTTAATCACCAAAGCAAGCCTTGATGATTGGGTGAAGGGGAGGGAGAGGGAAGGAGGGTGGTGGGTGTGGAAGGGGAGGGAGAGAGTGAGAGAAATGTGCTGGTGGGAGGGGAAGTGATGTGGCCTCTTCTTTTTTCAATTTTTTTCTTTTTAACTTCCTTCTTTTTTTCTTTCTTTTTTTTACTTTTTTTCTTACTTTTTTTATTTTTTTTTACTTTTTTTTTATTTTTTTCTTTTTTAAAGGTATCCGTTGCATGGGGCTTGGAGATATCTGAAAATTAAAAGAATAAATTGAAGAACACTCAAAAAAGAGTTGACAATAATCTCAAGCTATCCGTAGTTTCCTCGACTACCAATAAACCACGAAACTTACATTCTGAAGAGAGTGTGATGGGGGAGGAGTGTGATGGGAGTGGAACGGAGGAGGGGTGCGGTGCGAGTGGGAGGGGAGGATGGGTGTTGCAAATGGAAAGGGGTGTGGCGTGAGTGAAGGTGATGTTTAGGTTCCTGAAAATATATACCATACAGTTTGGGAAAAAGTAGGATAAAATCAAGGGTGAAACAACCTACATAGTGAAAAATGGGTGGTAAACATTTGGGGTAGGGCAGTGAAATCTCGGAGCAATATCTGAAAATAAAATAATCAATTGAAGAACCACAAAAAAAATTGACAACGATCCGAAGAATTCCCTGATTTCCTCAACTATAACACCAAAAATAAAAACTTACATTCCATGTTGTTTCTGCCGTTGGTTTGAGTCTCGGCCATGGTGCCGTCCTGGGCCGAAGTTGGGAGTGATGCTGTTGAATTTGCGTTGTTTTCCAAGGATCCATTGCTTTCCGGGATGATTTTCTGCAAATATTGATCACATAATTTGAGATTAAAAAAATACGCTAAAAAAGGTATAAAAAGATAACTTACGTAGTTAAAAAAATGGTGATAAATCATATAAGATGAGGGGAAAATCTACATTAGAGGTACGGCAGTGAAATCTTGGAGCAACATCTGAAAATAAAATTATCAATTGAAGAACCGCCAAAAGAACAATTGACAACAATCTCAAGAAGAATTCCCTAATATTTCCTCAACTACCAAAAAAAGCCATCAAAACTCACATTCCATGATGTTTGTGTCGTTGGTTTGAGTCTCGGCCATATGGTGCCGTCCTGGGCCGAAGTTGAGGCATTGAAAGTAGCAGTCGGGAAATGTGCTCCAAAGATCCACTGGTTTGAGAACTGAGTTTCTGAAAATATAGATCATATAATTTAAGAACAATCCAGGTTAAATTCAAGAATTAAATGACAACTTACATTATTACAAAGGGGTCGTAAACTAATAGGCGAATCACATTTTACAAGAGAAAAATAAGAGTCACTTTAAACAAAATTATTTTTTTATATTTTTTTCATTTTTTTTCTTTTTTATTTTTTTCTTTTTTTTTATTTTTTTTTTTCTTTTTTTTATTTTTTTTTTTATTTTTTTCAATTTTTTTATTTTTTTACTACTTTTTTCTTTTTTAAAGGTATCCGTTGCATGGGGCTTGGAGATCTCTGCAAATAAAAAGAATAAATTGAAGAACACTCAAAAAAGAATTGACAATAATCTCAAGCCATCTGTACAGTGAGGGACCGGATCCAATGGCAAAAAACGTCTCATTTTGCATCCCGGAAGGGACCAAAATGTCTCCAAACCCTTCCCTTCTCTAAGCTAAAAAACCCGCGCTTTCAAGAGCCCGCCTTGAAGGAAAGGGCGCGCTTGTCAAAGCGGAATTTTTCAGCTTACAGAAGGGAATGGTTTGGGGTCATTTTGGCCCCTTCCGGGTTGCAAAAGGAGACGTTTTTTGCCATTGGATCAGGTCCCTCACTATAATTTCCTCAACTACTAATAAACCACAAAACTTACATCCTGAAGAGAGTGTGATGGGGGAGGATAGTGGTGCGAGTGGGAGGGGAGGATGGGTGTTGCAAATGGAAAGGGGTGTGGCGTGAGTGAAGGTGATGTTTAGGTTTCT